ATTATTATTATTATTATTATTATTATTATTATTATTTTTATTATTATTATCATAAACAGGCAGTGTGATAACTAAAGTAGTAACTCGAATTATAGCACGCCTTTTGTGAGGATAATGTACGTGTTAGTGAGTCTTCAAATCACCCATCTTATTCATCACTGGGAGAAATACAACACTGGCGTGTTATATCTATCATGGGGATACGATATCGGAATGTTGGTAAGTTAATCATAATAATAGAATGAAAGCACCATTGAAGAACTATCAATTCACGTGCTCAGTGGCAAAGTGCTCTTGCTTTTTTTAATCATCCTTCTGCAATGCAGGTGTCTTTAATGGGCAGTTAAGTGCTAATCTTGAACACTTTCAATATACTCAGTTCAAGTGATTTTAAATATCACACTTTGAATTGATTTTTTTCCAAAATTTGATATTTCAAGTTATGCTTGCTCAATTTCAATTGCAGATGCTCACGGGATCCTATTTGATGACCTATGTAATTGGATATGAATCGTACAAGACCTATGTTTTTGGCCTAATAAGACCGGTGATCGTGTTGGAAACTGTATTTCATAGTTCGCATTAATTTCTCACAGCCTTTTCATTTCTCTGTACAAATGATTCGTCCTTCATACGACTTTTCGTATGAAACGTTCAACGCTTCCTTCGATAATTCCGCGTTTTTGAAGTTTTCGACTCCTTGTCAGGTTGCCCGAAATATGCGCTTAATTTTCAGTGGTTTCTATCGGCTCTGTATTGTTTTCAATTTTGAAAGTGCACGCAGCATATTTTGTTCGAAAATCTGGCCTGCAGGTATTGAGACGATTCCTTTTTTCATGCTTCGTTAACGAATATTTTTAATTCCAAAATTTCTGAACCTGAGATTAATCTCCATCTAGTGACTACCAAGCAATCAATTGATCAAAATGTGCTCAAAGGCATGAGTGAAGCAGAAATCGTCATTGGCTGACGACTAAGGGTCCATGGTCCACATTTCGATACTATTGCGATTACCATTGCGGGATTTAACGAAAAATTAACATTGCACCAAAGGAAATCGCTCGTTCAAAATATGAACAGCTTGAAATTTTTCAACGTCTGAACTCCACCTGAAATTTTTTTCCAATCCTAATATAACAATGACTATCAGCGTCTTGCTCCTCTTTCATAGCGTGACTAATTGTCATTCTCCTCACTCTCAATCCTCTGACTGCAATTCGACCTCTTCTGCGAATGTATCACTAGTTAGCGAAAAACAACAAGAAAATCAACAAAGTTTTTGAAATTTTCGACTCTTTGTTAGGTTGCCCGAAATATACTTTTAATTTTCAGTGGTTTCTATCGGCTCTGTATTGTTTTCAATTTTGAAAGTGTACGCAGCATATTTTGTTCGAAAATCTGGCCTGCAGGTATTGAGACGATTCCTTTTTTCATGCTTCGTTAACGAATATTTTTAATTCCAAAATTTCTGAACCTGAGATTAATCTCCGTCTAGTGACTACCAAGCAATCAATTGATCAAGCTGTGTACAAAGGTATGAGGGAAGCAAAAATCGTCATTGGCACACGACTAATGGTCTATATTGGTCCATGATCT